TGGTTGAACCACAAGGTTTATTATAGAACTGAGTGAATGGGTTTTTTTCTACATTCTTTCTCCACTCAGAAAAGGCTTCCTCAGATGTGAATGAATGTTGGAGTATTTGCAGGTTATGCCGATGTTCAAAGTTGTAATGTTGTATTAGCTGTAGGATTGTAGAACACTTGTAATCACATATTCCCCAACAGTTTTTACCAGTTTCTGAGTTTGCATTTGAAATTCAGCTGCATACATTCTTTTCTTGTGTGATAGCAGTGACTGCCTACATTTGAGCTCTTCGCTGCAAAATTGACATTTGAGCGGTGTTTGATTGGAGTGTTTTCCTTTTAAGTTATGACCTGGTGGGGGGGGGTGCTTCTTTATGTGCTGCTGGTTTATTTGTCCTTATTCCCTTTTGGGTTAAAATGTTCAGTGATAGCTTCCATTAGCTTGTGGAAGTGGGAACCACATTCTTCATGGGTAACTTGAGATGAAGTGAAGTCACCTCAAAAAGCCTGATGTACATTTTTCACTTTACCTCCAAGGCCGACCTCCCATAGGAAGGCACAGGACACACAGCATGCAGCACACAATGCATTTCGTTTGACTAGCTAAGGAGCAGTAGGTGGGTTACAGTGAATTAAAGACATCCTGTACATTTTTTGTTAAGAAGAGTGTAATGCCTTGGGTGTCTTTTCTTGATATTTTAGTCAGGATACCTCTTTGCAACCCCCTCCCCCCCAAAAAAAATAATAACAAAAAAAAAATAACAACACTAGAACTAGGAATAGAATAATACGATTGAAGAGACTGACTCACAGCCTAACACTCACCTCTAACTCTAAGCCTAGAATGTTGCTGATTCCAGTTTTCTGCATTGTGTGGCACTTCTATTATAGTCTCTTTTATACTAGTTTCATCTGATATCTTTAAATGACCCAGTTTAAACTTAAAGTCCTGGTCAGTGTGTTGCAAACAGTATTCCACCATGACAGACCCATCTTTTATGTTTTTACGAGCAGTCATGTAAGCTGTACAGTTTCTTCCCATTCTGCATAGACCTTTAGACTTTGGTGCTCGCTTTCAAACTTCTAATGGTGGATGTATCCCAGACCTGTGACAGTAAAAAGTCCTTTGATACTGAATGGTTTCTTTATTACTAATGGTTGAACCACAAGGTTTATTATAGAACTGGGTGAATGTTTCTTTTTCTACTTTCTTTCTCCACTCAGAAAAGTCTTCCTCAGATGTGAATGTACTTTGGAGTATTTGCAGGTTATGCTGTTGTTCAAAGTTGTAATGTTGTATTAGCTGT